GAGCAGAGAGTTGGTTTCAGCCACTTAGTGGGAGGCAATTTTTAAACGCCTCATCACCTGGTGACTGGTGTTAGAAGTTTGTTATAAGAAAACAAGAAATTCTGAAATTCTAATACTAATAGTAAAAGTGCAAAACTACTGTCATGATATGGTATATTAGCAATTGTGTAATAACTTTTTTCCAATAATATAGTTATTGCTTCCTGTGACATAACATAGCACAAAAAAGGGCTATTTAATAATGCAGCCACTAGAGGTCAGAATCTGTAAACTAAAATAAATTCCTTTCTGCTGTGTGCTATAGTATTATATAGAACCCAAATCCTATTAGCAAGGCTGTTCAAAGCATTTATTTGGCTGCATAACCTGAATAACTGAGGGCTATTTAGTTACTTTTAGCGCTATTTAATCTCTGCTTTCTTTACAAATGGAGGGATTTAAGTACAGTGAAATGGAAATATTTCTTTTGATGAAGACAGGAATCTCATTTATTCTTAGTGGTGAAACAGTGACTTAGAAGAGGATGATAATGATTGTAGATAAATTTAAATTGTGAACAAAAGTATGATTCTCCATGTTTATGTAACATTACTGAATTAATATAGAAACTGTTATAAAAATTATTCCAAACAGCCAGGACTCAAGATGATCTTGGTTGAATGGTGAAGTAGATCAAAACTCAGGAAGACATCCACCCTCACATTCAACAGAGATAAACACTCTCTACCTGTGCTTTAAGGAGTAGAGAAAATAGATGCAAAAATATAGAATTGTGGACACTTTTCTAACTGAGTGGTAAAAGGGATATAAGGCCATAAGCTAAACACACATCAGCATTGTGATGAGACAGTCTGAAACTTTAAAGCAATTCTAAGTTCCTTCAACATCAAATTTATTTATTTATTTATTTCCCTCCAACTGTCTGGTGATGGAGCCCTACTCTGGGTAGCTAACAGCAGTAAAGAAAAATAATAACCCATCCACCAGCACATACACCCAATTTAAAAAATGACAAAAAGACTCCAACAGCAAATAAAATTCAATTTAAAAGTATGGTATTAGGTCACAAGACATAATAGTATCAAACTAGTATGTACTGATTAAGCCTCATGTAGAGTACTAAGTGCAGTTCTGAATACCTCAAATCTATTAACATGTTCAGAGGAGGGTGTCAAAGGTAGTGAGAGTCCTTAGAGACTTATGAAAAGCATACTGTATAGGTGTTTAGAAGGTCAAAAGCCTACCAAAAGACCACTCTGAAAGATCATATTGCCCCTTACAAGTGTGCCTGGACCTTGAATATGCAAGAGACGCCCTCCTAACCACCCCTGGTCCCTCAGAGTCTCCTCTGGTGATGGGCCTTCTCAATGCCTGCTTCCAGGCTCTTGCGCTCTCTGGCAGGCAAGGGACATTTGACTGACCATCCCTCTTTTGTCATCCTGTCTACAGGCACAAATCTTTTTATTTGGGCTGTCTTTGGTAGCTGCCTGCCTGACAAGTACAGGGGTTTGAATTGGGTGTACTGATATTCTTTCTATTGATTTTAATGTTAATTATCATTAGCATTTCCATTCAGATTATGGGGACCACATAGGGAGCCTCTCCAAAGAGTAGAAATGTACACTTGGGCGTCTCCTGGGCAATGGTGTGCAGCCAGCAAATCTTTAACTTCCAGAAGGAACAGCAGCAAACTGAAGTTCATGGACGCTGATCCCTTGGATAACAGTTGAAGCTGAGGAAAAGTTTCTGCACAAATCTCAAGCTTTCGTCAAAAACAGAACGATTGTTCTGACACTTTAATTGGTTTTTTATTTTGCCTATACTGTGCTGTAGTTAATGTGTTGCCGTGATTCTGAATTGTGTAATGCTCTGATACAAATAAAGAAGGAATTCAAATTATTTATGTTTTCTAAGTGCAATTGATTTATACATATTTTACTTATTCCTTTGTAGATAGTGGTACTTTTAAAAATGCCTTGTAAACTGCCTTGGGTGCTGGGAGACATTTATCATAAAAAAGAAAGGTCTTTAGAGGAAGAGTTGAAGGAGCTGAGTATATATACTCTGAATAAGAGACAACAAAGAGGCAATATGGTAGCCATATTTTAAAAATTAAATGTTACTACTGTATATACATACTTAATGGAGTAAATTTTCCTCTGCTTTTCCAGAGGGTAGGATAGGACCTGAATCACTTTTCAAAATACAAGAAAGGACATTTTGGTCAAGTGTGACAATGACTTTCTGAACACAGGATCTGATCAGTAATGAAATCAACTGCTTTGGAAAACAAGTAACCTTAAGAAGAGTGTGGATAGCCATCTATTAGGCATGCTGTAGCAGTGGATTTCCTATACTGAAGAAGGTTGGAATAACTAGTCTTTGTTTCCCTTCAACTCTGGTTCAATTAAGTGCCAATCAATGATCATCAGCTCTTGTTTTAGGTTTAGAAGAAGATGGAGTAAGCAAGATGAAGTCTACACAAGAGGGAGCTGGGGAAGAAAGTCCATGAATAATAGAGTATCACTATTCCACTGCTAGTAACAGCATAAATCAGTAATATTTGAAGGGACATTACATATTGTCTTCTTTTTCTGTAATACCTTGAATGTTAATGTATTTGGGTTTTCAGTGTGCTGTACTGAGTTATATCTTCTGATTCAGAAATGCTTCAGTGTGAGGTGATAATGGCCATATATAACAATTTGCCTTTGCTAAGACCACCTTAGTATTTCATTTTGGTAGTACTGTTAACAAGCACAGTAACTGTATAGTGAACCAGGTACAAAGTAAAACGTCTCAGCCCAACATCCTTTAATATAATTTTATCTGGACTGCATTTTCTGTGAGAGACGTAAATAAACCCACGTATTAAGTGATCTTGTGTTTCTTTGTTCACCAGTAAGCCCTACCAACTCCAATCTGTCTTCTCAATTTCAGTGTATTTAGGATTGCAGCCTTAATTTATCACATAAAATGCTCAATAAAATTGGAATTAATCCCTTTGCAGTCAGTCAGCATATGATAATATACTGGTGAAATATTTTGTGTAATCCCAAAGAAGTAGAAGACACGTAATAATGGACTCAATCTACAGGAAGCCAGATTTATATCAGGATATCAGGAAAATCAGATTTATATCAGGATATCAGATTTATATCAAAATATCAGGAAAAACTTCTTAACTATTAGAGCAGTAGACAATGGAACAAATTACCCTGAGAGATGGTGAGTGCTCCAACTCTGGAGGCATTCAAGAGAAAATTGGACAACCATCTGCTTTGATTTGGATTCCTGCATTGAGCAGGGGTAGGGCTTGATGGCCTTATTGTTGTTTAGTCCTTAAGTCATGCCCGACTCTTTGTGACCCCATGGACCAGAGCACACCAGGCCCTCGTGTCTTCCACTGCCTCCCGGAGTTTTGTCAAATTCATGTTGGTAGCTTCAATGCCACTGTCCGTCCATCTCGTCCTCTGTCGTCCCCTTCTCCTCTTGCCTTCACACTTTCCCAACATCAGGGTTTTTTCCAGGGAGTCTTCTCTTCTCATGAGATGGCCAAAGTATTGGAGCCTCAGCTTCAGTATGGCCTTATAGGCCCTTCCAATTCAATTATTACAGTACAGTATATGGTTCTGACTTTGGATGCCATAGTGGTAAACAATGTTTTGTTATATCCAAGCAATTCTGTAAGACTCCAGCTCTTAACTTTTGGCGTACTAGATATTTTGAAGTTCTATTTGCAGAATTCCTTGATTACTGACCATAATGACTAGGGCTACTGGAGGTGAAGTACAAAGCATTTTGCATATCAAAAGCTGAAAACTGCTACTTGAACTTTTTCAGCCAATATACATTATTCTTCTGTATTTTATTTTGAATGATCAGCTGCAACAATCTGCACATTTAATTTCTCATTACATAAATTTATTATGTATATTCTAGCTTTCCACATTTTATGTTTATGATTCTTTGGTCTTTATTAATTAATCTTAGCTTCCTCCCTTAGTATAAGATGGGCAAAATATGTTGCTGGGACTGCATTCCAAAGCTATTCCGATGGCCTGCTGCACCCCTCTTCTGGTTCTTCTTTTCACAGCACGGAATATGAATAATGACCAAATCCTGGAAGTCTCTCTGTTCGAGGTGCGAGGTGATAGCGTCAGTTTATTTTTTAAACTGGTCACAGGACCACCAGCACGATCTAACAGCCAAAACAAACAAAACCACAAAAGAACACACATCAGTTTTCAAACCTGGAAGTGGATATCCACCTACTTCCTCATTGTTCGGGTTTTCCCCATTTGGAAAATCTGCGACGACCCAGAGAGAAAAGTACCTAACAGACCCACCAAATCTGCCTGCCCTGCTTTAGTACTTCTCATGGGTCAGCTTGGCAATCCCGTCCTGTCCATTTTATTCGAACGCTACGCCGTTTCCTTCGGTGAGACACGCAGCTATCCGATCGAAGGAAGAGAAAAACCTCAAAACAAAACAAATGCAACAAGCAAAACAAAAATATCGGTAGACCTTTAAAACACTATCTGCTATATTTCAATCTGAACTTTAATAGCCCCTCTTTTCCCAGAAACATATTGAAATATAAGAGTCTTTAAGGTGCCAGAACATTTTTATTTTATTTTGTTTTGCTTTTATCTTTGCCTAGACGTGCTTGCGCAGACTTAACACTGCGACTTCTCTGAAAACTATTACAGTATCTGATCTTAGGCCTGGTAATCTGCAAGGAAGTCGGTTTTCTCTCAAGTAACCGTGCATGGAAATGCTGGCTTGCATTTACGTAATGCCTTTCGGATGTTGCGCCGTAAGACTTCTTTCCTGAAGAAAAGACACGCCTGGGTACCTCTCGGAGCCTTTGCAGGGAAGTTCCAGCACACTTTACACGTTGGTGCCCTCTCCCTTTAAGAACCCCCCCACCCCGGTCCAGTTCCTCGCTTCCTTCACCGCCACGGTATTCAAGCCCCTTCAACCTTACCTAGAGCCGATGACATAATTTCTATGCTCTAATTGGCTGCTGCCTACCTCAGTCACCTTTGGCTGCCCCGCCTACATCCCCCCCTCGGCCTCGCCCCTTTCTTGAGCATTCCAAAGTACTCGACAGGCGTTGATGGGGGATGTTGTCACTCAGCGGCCTCCCTGGTTTGTTTGGTTCCTCCGCCTGTCACTCTCGAAGTTGGTGGGCGGGAGCTTCCGCGGCTGTAAGGCGCTGAGCCGGCCGCTGTGAGGTGGAGCTTTGCGGACTGAGGGAAGTTTTCGTCTCTCGGTGGCGGCGGCGGCTCCGAAGGGAAGAGGACGGCGAGCCTTCTGCAGCTGGCATGGAGTCGTGAGCCGGGTGAGTGGAAGGCAGGCTTCGGCCTCGCACGAGGAGGGGAAGCTGCCCGCTTCGCGCCCCTCCTGCGCAGGGGCTCCTCCATGTATGGGGCAGGGAACCGCCCCTCCGGAGAGCGCGCCCCGGAGCGGTCCTGGCCTCAGCCGGGACGTGCGGCGCTCCTTCCGTTTCTCACGGATGCCAGAGATGTGGGAAAGCCGCGCCCTTCCTTTCCTTGGGCCCCTTTCCAAAGGAGGCATCCTCCTCCTCCTCCCTGTCTGTGAGTCAGAGATGGGCGACCCCTCCCACGGCGGGCCTCCTGAGTCAGTCTGCGTGACTTTGGGGCGCCCCTCGGCCCCTTGCGCTTGTAATTAAATTAGCTTGATTTGTTTGCCACCTTCTCACGTCGTTTAATCTCGATCAGCCGCCACTAAGCCTTTCCTCCCTTTGCCCCATCAGTCGCTAGGCGCCTGCTTTTCCCCTGGAACGCCTCCTCCTCCTCCTCCTCTGGCGTGTGGTTTCATCCTCTGGCGTTTTGTGAACGTGGTTCTCATTCTGCCTTCCTCGCCATAATCAACCTGATAGATTTTTTTTTTATGCGGGGCCATAGAAACTGTTACTTCCACGTGCTCAAAAAAAGAAAAAAGAAAAAGAAAAGAATGGCTTATAACTACCCCCACCACAGCTGTGGTTTCATCGGTGATCTGGTTTTATTTCCCAAAACCTGTTTAATCACACAGTCGATGTAACGAACAAATTGGTCATTCAGTGTAATTAACTTCAGGAAGGCAAAGCGTTTCTCATTCTCTTACAAAATTGCAAATCAACTTTGGGTCTGTCAGCAGAAACGGTGGCTAGATTATGAAAGCGAATGTAGGATTCAGATTTAAGCATCTTTTGGGTGGTTGTGAGTAACTCACCATGGACACAAAGCCAGTAAAAAGAGGTAAGGCTACATTAGCAGCAGGGAGCAATCTAGTCTGAATTGCTTTGGAACAGTGAATCTTGATTAGATCACTTCTGTTGTTTACATGAGAATTGCTCCTGCGTCCCCTGTACTTGCAGTCTACCCTGTTCCCCCCAAAATAAGACTTAACCTGAAAATAAGCCCTAGTATGATTTTTCAGGATGCTTGAAATATAAGCCCTACCCTAAAAATAAGCCTTAGTTAAGTGAAACCCCGCCCTCCAGATGACATGACTGTAAAATAAAACAGCCCCTGAAAATAAGTCCTAATGTGTTTTTGGAGCAAAAATTAATATAAGCCCCTGTCTTATTTTGGAGGAAACACGGTAGTAAGCCACATGTTGGCATTAGATCACTCTGTTTTGGTCTGTATGGTTGCAGTGTGCTCCTCCACTTCTTGTTCCCCACCTGCTGCCTTTGCTTTTATAATAGCTATCAGCTGCTTCGGAAACACTCTGGTCCCATTGCTTGAGGGTGGGCATTAAGTGTTGTTTTTATTTATTTTATTTATTTGCTGTATTAGATTTTTATCCCACCCTTCTAGACATATGTCTACTCAAGGCGGCTCACAATAAAAGTATTCATAAAAACAATTAAAACAACAATTTACATTTGCAATATTAGTATTAATCAAGATGGAAAATATGAAACAAAAGATTAAGTAGAAAGTAAAAGTCAAGTATTGACAGGAGGGAAGGCCTGCCTAAAAAGCCAAGTTTTTAATTGGCTCTTAAAAACACCCAGTGAGGGTGCCGGGCAGATCTCTGATGCCAGGCTATTCCAAAGTCGAGGGTCCACTGCCGAGAAGGCCCGGTTTCTTGTGCTTTCTCTCTGGGCCTCCCTCGTTGTTAGGCCCCTCAGCCACCCCTCCTGGCTAGAATGAGTGATACGGGCAAATCTAAGTGGGCGAAGGAATT